GGTCAGATACGGCCGGAGGGCCCGACGTTTCCGCCAGCAATCCTGGGACCGTAGGGACGGGTACGGATGGGGGAAGGCCCGTGCATTCCCCGCTCCTTATGGGAGACGGGATAGAGTCCCCTCACCTTACCAGCCAGTGCCTCCTCCAAGACCGGCACGTTTCTATGGTCCCCAATCAAAAACCTATGCATCTGTGGTGGGCCGCCAATTCAATCGGAGACCGGCCCCACGATTTTATAAAAATCCACCGGTTCAGCAGCATTCGGACAATATTAGGAGACAGCCAGCTGACCCGCAGTTCGGGCGGCTGGTCAGGACTATGCATAGTCTTATAAAGATAGTGCACCATTACCAAAATGTTGCTCCAAAAGCGGGGAAGGGAGAACCCAAAATCATCTCCCGGATGGTTGAAGTGCTAGCCACTATGATCAAGCCCGCAGTTCCCACCCAGCGAACTATGGAGTTCATTAAGGGGAATGCAGAGAACTGGGGCTACAACACAGTGACCATTCTGATGGATCACTATAAGGACGGTTTGGATGTGGTCTTGGGGGAACTTGAGGGAATCTTGATTCCACGGTGGAAGGATGCCTTTGAAGTGGCAGTACGTTGGGCAAAACGAAACCTGCCCCGGATCACAGCAGATGTCATAGATCACGCAGAGGCCCTTATCACAGAGAGAGCTGAGGCCCTTTTGACAGAGAGAACAGAGGTTAGAGAGGAAGCACCCCAACCTACTGTTCAAAAGAACATTACGTTGCAGTCATTCAGGGGAACTAAAGATAAAAGTCACGGGCTAAACATCCAACCACCGGCCAAACAATCAGTGGCCACGATGACCGAACAGGTCCAACAGACAGACTCTGAATGGGCAAGTTCGCCCAAAGAACAGAGACAGGCCTACAGAGGGAGAAAAGGGGTGGTGTTGCCTGAGGACGAAGTTTTTGTAGAGGAGGTTGAGGAGGTTGAAGAACAGCCTAGAGTCATACATGACCAGATTTTGACAAACTCACAGTTAGCCACATTGTTTGATGAGCTAGATGCAGAAGAGGAACGGGAGAGGTTGGAGGCAAGAGCAGCTAGGGAACCCCCTAAAGATTCAGAGCAACAAACCTCTACCCCAAACCAAACAGAGGTTCAGGTTCAGGTTTTGAGAGACGCATTTCCTGAGCCAGATGAGGTTGAGGCTTTGGGATCGGAAGATCCAGGTCCAGAGGTGGACGATGGGGAGGTCTTTCAAGACTCATCGGACAGATTTTTGGGTCCAGAACCAGAGCGTTTTAAGGTGAACTGTCACAGTAATACCCAAAAAAAACTAACTGAATGGGATTTGGTCGTGGAGAAAAAGTATCTGATCATTGGGGACTCTAACTTGGAAAGCATACCACCTTATTTTAACAAAAATCTGCAGATTGACAGTTTTCCAGACGGCCATTTTCGCCATGCACAGGTCCTTATGGACAAAAGAGCACCTCAACAAGATGATGTGGTGGTTGAAAAAGTAGTTCTGTCATTTGGAATCAATGGTAGACAAAACAAAAGTGATACAACAGTTAAAAGTGTGCAAGGAGCTATCCGATCTACCAAGAGGAGGTTTCCTTATGCACAAGTGTGGGTCCCTTTGATCAACTTTTCATCAGCCCTCCCCAATGATGAAAAGGAAAACTTACAGAGTCTTAATGCCCATATTAAAAAGAATATGGGTTTTATTCCCCCGTTGCCAGAAGAAAAGTTTGTAACAACGGTGGACGATGTTCATTGGACATCAGAGACTGGGGCAGCCATGTTTGACCACTGGACGGCCTTTTTAAACTTAAGCGCCCCTTAAGTCTAGAAGAAGAGGGGGTCATAGGACATCGATCCTTTTCAGGACAGAATGTTATTGTTTTAGCAAAAAATTTTAGTCTTTCTAGACCCCAACATGACCTGTTGAGTAAGGGATTAACATTTATACCAACATTAAACATAGGCAGGGAACAAAAGGAGCAGCTACAGATGGATATGCAAACTTACCATCGTAAAATCAAATTGACAGCATTCTTTCAAAATTCAAAGACAAAACAGATTAAACCCTTTATGGGGACCTCAAAATGGTCTCCTCCATTAGAATCGTTACCCCTTGAGATTAAAAATTTAATTTATGAAGATTCAGACACACTTAAAAAGCACAAACAAGTCAAAGAGAAATGCAATTTATTTCCACAAGAAATCGAAGCATTAAGGGAATTAAAAAATACAAAACATATAGTGATTAAGCCGGCTGATAAGGGGACAGCCATTGTCATTTTGGACAGGGAACAATATATTCTGGAAGTCGAGAGACAATTAAATGACGCCAATTACTATAAAAAATTAGAGAAACCCATCTTTTGGGACACGATCCCTGTAGTTGATAAAATTTTAAATTCATTAAAAGACAAAAAATTCATAAATAAGAAACAATACAATTATCTAAAAGGGGATTCAGAACCCAGGGAAAGAAGATTTTATATCCTCCCGAAAATTCACAAAGAACCTGAAAAGTGGACGATTCCCTTTGAGTTACCTGCCGGAAGGCCAATAGTCTCGGATTGTGGGAGTGACACATATCATACAGCAGAGTATTTGGATTACTATTTGAATCCACTCTCTATAAAACATCCTGCTTATGTTAAAGATACTTACCATTTCATGGAAATAGTCAGGAGTTTGAGGATCCCTTCCAATTCTTATTTGTTTTCTTTGGATGTAAATAGTTTGTACACTAACATTGATATTGAGGCTGGTTTAAGGTCCATAAAAAATGCTTTTGCTCAATATCCTGATACCAAAAGACCAGACAAAGAATTGTTACAACTTTTGGAAATTAATTTAACCAGAAACGATTTTATGTTCAATGGACAATTTTATTTGCAGATTAAGGGAACTGCCATGGGGAAAAGATTCGCCCCAGCATATGCCAACATTTTTATGGCTCAGTGGGAAAAGGAAGTGTTGAGCAAATGTGAGAAAAAACCGACACATTATCTGAGATATCTGGACGATATATGGGGAATTTGGGAGGGATCGGAGAGGGAATTTGAAGGATTTTTAGACATTTTGAATTCCCACGATCCATCGATTCAACTCAAGGCTGAGATTAATCAGGAGTCAATTAATTTTTTAGACACAACAGTATTTAAAGGACCAGATTTTGAAAATACACACCAACTGGAGTTTAAAGTCAGTTTCAAAAGTACAGATACACATGCTTTATTACACAAAAATAGTTTTCATCCAAAACATACCTTTCGGGGTCTCGTTAAATCGCAAATCCTTAGATTTAAACGGATTTGTTCACAGGAAAAACATTTTAAGGAAGCAACCAACATTCTTTTTGAGGCTCTACGTAAAAGAGGATATTCGAGATCCTTTTTACGGACAAGTTTGAAACAGTTTCTCGTGCGCAGAGAGAAAGATCAGAGAGGATTAATTCCACTCATTACTACGTACAGTTCAACAGGCAAAAATCTGAACAACAGGTGGAAAAACAATTTTCAAAATATTATCCAAAAAATCAATATGTTTCCAAATTCTAGGGTAATTTCAGCGTACAGAAGGAATAAAAATTTGAGAGATATTTTAGTTAAAGCCAAATTACCATCTTTAACAACAGAAAAGCCGCAAAGGTTAAACGAGCAATTTTCCCGTTTAAAATTTATTAAAAACAATAAGGACAAAACAATTTTACAGATTCCACAGGGCTTTAGCCCAAGATCTAAAAATTGCATTTATGTAATGTACTGTAGTCAATGTAAACTAAAATATGTTGGAGAAACCAAAAATACTTTGTCTACGCGCATGACGCAACATAGATACAACATAAAGAACAAGAAGGAACAAGATACACCGGTGGTGAAACACTTTTTATTACATGGATGGAATTCGGTGAGGATAGCTGGTTTGGAGAGAAATATTCTTTGGTCAGACTGGGAACGGAAGAGGGCAGAAAGGAGATGGATCTATTGGTTGGGGACTAGAGAACCATTTGGTCTAAATAAAAAATCGAACTAACCAACTAGCCCTGGCCCCAACCCTAACCCTAACCCTAACCCTAGCCCTAACCCTAACCCTAGCTCTGGCCCTAACCCTAACCCTAGCCCTAACCCTAACCCTAACCCTAGTCCTGGCCCTAACCCTAACCCTAACCCTAGCCCTAACCCTAACCCTAACCCTAACCCTAACCCTAACCCTAACCCTAACCCTAACCCTAACCCTAGCCCTAACCCTAACCCTAACCCTAGCCCTAACCCTAACCCTAGGACAGTTAAAAATTAAATATATTAATTTTAAATAAATAACACATAAATAAATAAATAACACATAAATAAATAAATACATTTTAATAAATACAGGGGATATAGATCATTATTATATAGTAAAGGGTTAAAAGTAATTCATAGTTAAGGGCTTAAAATTTAGAATTTAAAAGGGCACATGATAATAAAATAACAAAATTCATTGTATTTACTCGCCAGAGACTATAAAAGGGAGAAGTGGGTTGGGCTTAATCATTTCCATTTTGAAGCTTGAGGAGAGAACATCATTCACTCTTACCAGCCAGCATCCTTTGTTTTCTTTATTCAGAGACAGTTTTTTTCTTTTCTTTGTTTGTTGTGTGCCAAGAGACCTGAGGAAGACCCACAGGGGGTCGAAACGTTGTCGTGGGCACACAAATTTGATTGTAAATAGTTTATTTGGAAGAAAAAAAAGTTAAAAAACAACAAAAAAATCTAAAAAACTTTATAAAAACCTTAAAAACATTTAAAAATATTTAAAAACAAAATTAAAAAACAGTTTATTTTTACTTTTTATTAAAACAATCAGCATTTTATTTCAGAAAGTTTAAATTTAAAGCTAAGTTTCCTTTGTTTTTTCAGATAAGTTTTCTTTTATAGGAAAAAATCAGTCTTTTCTTTCTTTAAAACAAAACAATATATATTTATTTAAATAAATAAAAACACTTTCATAGCCACTCTAACATGAGTGGCTACAATACAGACTGGACGGAGGTCAGATACGGCCGGAGGGCCCGACGTTTCCGCCAGCAATCCTGGGACCGTAGGGACGGGTACGGATGGGGGAAGGCCCGTGCATTCCCCGCTCCTTATGGGAGACGGGATAGAGTCCCCTCACCTTACCAGCCAGTGCCTCCTCCAAGACCGGCACGTTTCTATGGTCCCCAATCAAAAACCTATGCATCTGTGGTGGGCCGCCAATTCAATCGGAGACCGGCCCCACGATTTTATAAAAATCCACCGGTTCAGCAGCATTCGGACAATATTAGGAGACAGCCAGCTGACCCGCAGTTCGGGCGGCTGGTCAGGACTATGCATAGTCTTATAAAGATAGTGCACCATTACCAAAATGTTGCTCCAAAAGCGGGGAAGGGAGAACCCAAAATCATCTCCCGGATGGTTGAAGTGCTAGCCACTATGATCAAGCCCGCAGTTCCCACCCAGCGAACTATGGAGTTCATTAAGGGGAATGCAGAGAACTGGGGCTACAACACAGTGACCATTCTGATGGATCACTATAAGGACGGTTTGGATGTGGTCTTGGGGGAACTTGAGGGAATCTTGATTCCACGGTGGAAGGATGCCTTTGAAGTGGCAGTACGTTGGGCAAAACGAAACCTGCCCCGGATCACAGCAGATGTCATAGATCACGCAGAGGCCCTTATCACAGAGAGAGCTGAGGCCCTTTTGACAGAGAGAACAGAGGTTAGAGAGGAAGCACCCCAACCTACTGTTCAAAAGAACATTACGTTGCAGTCATTCAGGGGAACTAAAGATAAAAGTCACGGGCTAAACATCCAACCACCGGCCAAACAATCAGTGGCCACGATGACCGAACAGGTCCAACAGACAGACTCTGAATGGGCAAGTTCGCCCAAAGAACAGAGACAGGCCTACAGAGGGAGAAAAGGGGTGGTGTTGCCTGAGGACGAAGTTTTTGTAGAGGAGGTTGAGGAGGTTGAAGAACAGCCTAGAGTCATACATGACCAGATTTTGACAAACTCACAGTTAGCCACATTGTTTGATGAGCTAGATGCAGAAGAGGAACGGGAGAGGTTGGAGGCAAGAGCAGCTAGGGAACCCCCTAAAGATTCAGAGCAACAAACCTCTACCCCAAACCAAACAGAGGTTCAGGTTCAGGTTTTGAGAGACGCATTTCCTGAGCCAGATGAGGTTGAGGCTTTGGGATCGGGAAGATCCAGGTCCAGAGGTGGACGATGGGGAGGTCTTTCAAGACTCATCGGACAGATTTTTGGGTCCAGAACCAGAGCGTTTTAAGGTGAACTGTCACAGTAATACCCAAAAAAACTAACTGAATGGGATTTGGTCGTGGAGAAAAAGTATCTGATCATTGGGGACTCTAACTTGGAAAGCATACCACCTTATTTTAACAAAAATCTGCAGATTGACAGTTTTCCAGACGGCCATTTTCGCCATGCACAGGTCCTTATGGACAAAAGAGCACCTCAACAAGATGATGTGGTGGTTGAAAAAGTAGTTCTGTCATTTGGAATCAATGGTAGACAAAACAAAAGTGATACAACAGTTAAAAGTGTGCAAGGAGCTATCCGATCTACCAAGAGGAGGTTTCCTTATGCACAAGTGTGGGTCCCTTTGATCAACTTTTCATCAGCCCTCCCCAATGATGAAAAGGAAAACTTACAGAGTCTTAATGCCCATATTAAAAAGAATATGGGTTTTATTCCCCCGTTGCCAGAAGAAAAGTTTGTAACAACGGTGGACGATGTTCATTGGACATCAGAGACTGGGGCAGCCATGTTTGACCACTGGACGGCCTTTTTAAACTTAAGCGCCCCTTAAGTCTAGAAGAAGAGGGGGTCATAGGACATCGATCCTTTTCAGGACAGAATGTTATTGTTTTAGCAAAAAATTTTAGTCTTTCTAGACCCCAACATGACCTGTTGAGTAAGGGATTAACATTTATACCAACATTAAACATAGGCAGGGAACAAAAGGAGCAGCTACAGATGGATATGCAAACTTACCATCGTAAAATCAAATTGACAGCATTCTTTCAAAATTCAAAGACAAAACAGATTAAACCCTTTATGGGGACCTCAAAATGGTCTCCTCCATTAGAATCGTTACCCCTTGAGATTAAAAATTTAATTTATGAAGATTCAGACACACTTAAAAAGCACAAACAAGTCAAAGAGAAATGCAATTTATTTCCACAAGAAATCGAAGCATTAAGGGAATTAAAAAATACAAAACATATAGTGATTAAGCCGGCTGATAAGGGGACAGCCATTGTCATTTTGGACAGGGAACAATATATTCTGGAAGTCGAGAGACAATTAAATGACGCCAATTACTATAAAAAATTAGAGAAACCCATCTTTTGGGACACGATCCCTGTAGTTGATAAAATTTTAAATTCATTAAAAGACAAAAAATTCATAAATAAGAAACAATACAATTATCTAAAAGGGGATTCAGAACCCAGGGAAAGAAGATTTTATATCCTCCCGAAAATTCACAAAGAACCTGAAAAGTGGACGATTCCCTTTGAGTTACCTCCCGGAAGGCCAATAGTCTCGGATTGTGGGAGTGACACATATCATACAGCAGAGTATTTGGATTACTATTTGAATCCACTCTCTATAAAACATCCTGCTTATGTTAAAGATACTTACCATTTCATGGAAATAGTCAGGAGTTTGAGGATCCCTTCCAATTCTTATTTGTTTTCTTTGGATGTAAATAGTTTGTACACTAACATTGATATTGAGGCTGGTTTAAGGTCCATAAAAAATGCTTTTGCTCAATATCCTGATACCAAAAGACCAGACAAAGAATTGTTACAACTTTTGGAAATTAATTTAACCAGAAACGATTTTATGTTCAATGGACAATTTTATTTGCAGATTAAGGGAACTGCCATGGGGAAAAGATTCGCCCCAGCATATGCCAACATTTTTATGGCTCAGTGGGAAAAGGAAGTGTTGAGCAAATGTGAGAAAAAACCGACACATTATCTGAGATATCTGGACGATATATGGGGAATTTGGGAGGGATCGGAGAGGGAATTTGAAGGATTTTTAGACATTTTGAATTCCCACGATCCATCGATTCAACTCAAGGCTGAGATTAATCAGGAGTCAATTAATTTTTTAGACACAACAGTATTTAAAGGACCAGATTTTGAAAATACACACCAACTGGAGTTTAAAGTCAGTTTCAAAAGTACAGATACACATGCTTTATTACACAAAAATAGTTTTCATCCAAAACATACCTTTCGGGGTCTCGTTAAATCGCAAATCCTTAGATTTAAACGGATTTGTTCACAGGAAAAACATTTTAAGGAAGCAACCAACATTCTTTTTGAGGCTCTACGTAAAAGAGGATATTCGAGATCCTTTTTACGGACAAGTTTGAAACAGTTTCTCGTGCGCAGAGAGAAAGATCAGAGAGGATTAATTCCACTCATTACTACGTACAGTTCAACAGGCAAAAATCTGAACAACAGGTGGAAAAACAATTTTCAAAATATTATCCAAAAAATCAATATGTTTCCAAATTCTAGGGTAATTTCAGCGTACAGAAGGAATAAAAATTTGAGAGATATTTTAGTTAAAGCCAAATTACCATCTTTAACAACAGAAAAGCCGCAAAGGTTAAACGAGCAATTTTCCCGTTTAAAATTTATTAAAAACAATAAGGACAAAACAATTTTACAGATTCCACAGGGCTTTAGCCCAAGATCTAAAAATTGCATTTATGTAATGTACTGTAGTCAATGTAAACTAAAATATGTTGGAGAAACCAAAAATACTTTGTCTACGCGCATGACGCAACATAGATACAACATAAAGAACAAGAAGGAACAAGATACACCGGTGGTGAAACACTTTTTATTACATGGATGGAATTCGGTGAGGATAGCTGGTTTGGAGAGAAATATTCTTTGGTCAGACTGGGAACGGAAGAGGGCAGAAAGGAGATGGATCTATTGGTTGGGGACTAGAGAACCATTTGGTCTAAATAAAAAATCGAACTAACCAACTAGCCCTGGCCCCAACCCTAACCCTAACCCTAACCCTAGCCCTAACCCTAACCCTAGCTCTGGCCCTAACCCTAACCCTAGCCCTAACCCTAACCCTAACCCTAGTCCTGGCCCTAACCCTAACCCTAACCCTAACCCTAACCCTAACCCTAACCCTAACCCTAACCCTAGCCCTAACCCTAACCCTAACCCTAACCCTAGCCCTAACCCTAACCCTAACCCTAGCCCTAACCCTAACCCTAGGACAGTTAAAAATTAAATATATTAATTTTAAATAAATAACACATAAATAAATAAATAACACATAAATAAATAAATACATTTTAATAAATACAGGGGATATAGATCATTATTATATAGTAAAGGGTTAAAAGTAATTCATAGTTAAGGGCTTAAAATTTAGAATTTAAAAGGGCACATGATAATAAAATAACAAAATTCATTGTATTTACTCGCCAGAGACTATAAAAGGGAGAAGTGGGTTGGGTTTAATCATTTCCATTTTGAAGCTTGAGGAGAGAACATCATTCACTCTTACCAGCCAGCATCCTTTGTTTTCTTTATTCAGAGACAGTTTTTTTCTTTTCTTTGTTTGTTGTGTGCCAAGAGACCTGAGGAAGACCCACAGGGGGTCGAAACGTTGTCGTGGGCACACAAATTTCATTTGTACATAGTTTATTTGGAAGAAAAAAAGTTAAAAAACAACAAAAAAATCTAAAAAACTTTATAAAAACCTTAAAAACATTTAAAAATATTTAAAAACAAAATTAAAAAACAGTTTATTTTTACTTTTTATTAAAACAATCAGCATTTTATTTCAGAAAGTTTAAATTTAAAGCTAAGTTTCCTTTGTTTTTTCAGATAAGTTTTCTTTTATAGGAAAAAATCAGTCTTTTCTTTCTTTAAAACAAAACAATATATATTTATTTAAATAAATAAAAACACTTTCATAGCCACTCTAACATGAGTGGCTACAATACAGACTGGACGGAGGTCAGATACGGCCGGAGGGCCCGACGTTTCCGCCAGCAATCCTGGGACCGTAGGGACGGGTACGGATGGGGGAAGGCCCGTGCATTCCCCGCTCCTTATGGGAGACGGGATAGAGTCCCCTCACCTTACCAGCCAGTGCCTCCTCCAAGACCGGCACGTTTCTATGGTCCCCAATCAAAAACCTATGCATCTGTGGTGGGCCGCCAATTCAATCGGAGACCGGCCCCACGATTTTATAAAAATCCACCGGTTCAGCAGCATTCGGACAATATTAGGAGACAGCCAGCTGACCCGCAGTTCGGGCGGCTGGTCAGGACTATGCATAGTCTTATAAAGATAGTGCACCATTACCAAAATGTTGCTCCAAAAGCCGGGAAGGGAGAACCCAAAATCATCTCCCGGATGGTTGAAGTGCTAGCCACTATGATCAAGCCCGCAGTTCCCACCCAGCGAACTATGGAGTTCATTAAGGGGAATGCAGAGAACTGGGGCTACAACACAGTGACCATTCTGATGGATCACTATAAGGACGGTTTGGATGTGGTCTTGGGGGAACTTGAGGGAATCTTGATTCCACGGTGGAAGGATGCCTTTGAAGTGGCAGTACGTTGGGCAAAACGAAACCTGCCCCGGATCACAGCAGATGTCATAGATCACGCAGAGGCCCTTATCACAGAGAGAGCTGAGGCCCTTTTGACAGAGAGAACAGAGGTTAGAGAGGAAGCACCCCAACCTACTGTTCAAAAGAACATTACGTTGCAGTCATTCAGGGGAACTAAAGATAAAAGTCACGGGCTAAACATCCAACCACCGGCCAAACAATCAGTGGCCACGATGACCGAACAGGTCCAACAGACAGACTCTGAATGGGCAAGTTCGCCCAAAGAACAGAGACAGGCCTACAGAGGGAGAAAAGGGGTGGTGTTGCCTGAGGACGAAGTTTTTGTAGAGGAGGTTGAGGAGGTTGAAGAACAGCCTAGAGTCATACATGACCAGATTTTGACAAACTCACAGTTAGCCACATTGTTTGATGAGCTAGATGCAGAAGAGGAACGGGAGAGGTTGGAGGCAAGAGCAGCTAGGGAACCCCCTAAAGATTCAGAGCAACAAACCTCTACCCCAAACCAAACAGAGGTTCAGGTTCAGGTTTTGAGAGACGCATTTCCTGAGCCAGATGAGGTTGAGGCTTTGGGATCGGAAGATCCAGGTCCAGAGGTGGACGATGGGGAGGTCTTTCAAGACTCATCGGACAGATTTTTGGGTCCAGAACCAGAGCGTTTTAAGGTGAACTGTCACAGTAATACCCAAAAAAACTAACTGAATGGGATTTGGTCGTGGAGAAAAAGTATCTGATCATTGGGGACTCTAACTTGGAAAGCATACCACCTTATTTTAACAAAAATCTGCAGATTGACAGTTTTCCAGACGGCCATTTTCGCCATGCACAGGTCCTTATGGACAAAAGAGCACCTCAACAAGATGATGTGGTGGTTGAAAAAGTAGTTCTGTCATTTGGAATCAATGGTAGACAAAACAAAAGTGATACAACAGTTAAAAGTGTGCAAGGAGCTATCCGATCTACCAAGAGGAGGTTTCCTTATGCACAAGTGTGGGTCCCTTTGATCAACTTTTCATCAGCCCTCCCCAATGATGAAAAGGAAAACTTACAGAGTCTTAATGCCCATATTAAAAAGAATATGGGTTTTATTCCCCCGTTGCCAGAAGAAAAGTTTGTAACAACGGTGGACGATGTTCATTGGACATCAGAGACTGGGGCAGCCATGTTTGACCACTGGACGGCCTTTTTAAACTTAAGCGCCCCTTAAGTCTAGAAGAAGAGGGGGTCATAGGACATCGATCCTTTTCAGGACAGAATGTTATTGTTTTAGCAAAAAATTTTAGTCTTTCTAGACCCCAACATGACCTGTTGAGTAAGGGATTAACATTTATACCAACATTAAACATAGGCAGGGAACAAAAGGAGCAGCTACAGATGGATATGCAAACTTACCATCGTAAAATCAAATTGACAGCATTCTTTCAAAATTCAAAGACAAAACAGATTAAACCCTTTATGGGGACCTCAAAATGGTCTCCTCCATTAGAATCGTTACCCCTTGAGATTAAAAATTTAATTTATGAAGATTCAGACACACTTAAAAAGCACAAACAAGTCAAAGAGAAATGCAATTTATTTCCACAAGAAATCGAAGCATTAAGGGAATTAAAAAATACAAAACATATAGTGATTAAGCCGGCTGATAAGGGGACAGCCATTGTCATTTTGGACAGGGAACAATATATTCTGGAAGTCGAGAGACAATTAAATGACGCCAATTACTATAAAAAATTAGAGAAACCCATCTTTTGGGACACGATCCCTGTAGTTGATAAAATTTTAAATTCATTAAAAGACAAAAAATTCATAAATAAGAAACAATACAATTATCTAAAAGGGGATTCAGAACCCAGGGAAAGAAGATTTTATATCCTCCCGAAAATTCACAAAGAACCTGAAAAGTGGACGATTCCCTTTGAGTTACCTCCCGGAAGGCCAATAGTCTCGGATTGTGGGAGTGACACATATCATACAGCAGAGTATTTGGATTACTATTTGAATCCACTCTCTATAAAACATCCTGCTTATGTTAAAGATACTTACCATTTCATGGAAATAGTCAGGAGTTTGAGGATCCCTTCCAATTCTTATTTGTTTTCTTTGGATGTAAATAGTTTGTACACTAACATTGATATTGAGGCTGGTTTAAGGTCCATAAAAAATGCTTTTGCTCAATATCCTGATACCAAAAGACCAGACAAAGAATTGTTACAACTTTTGGAAATTAATTTAACCAGAAACGATTTTATGTTCAATGGACAATTTTATTTGCAGATTAAGGGAACTGCCATGGGGAAAAGATTCGCCCCAGCATATGCCAACATTTTTATGGCTCAGTGGGAAAAGGAAGTGTTGAGCAAATGTGAGAAAAAACCGACACATTATCTGAGATATCTGGACGATATATGGGGAATTTGGGAGGGATCGGAGAGGGAATTTGAAGGATTTTTAGACATTTTGAATTCCCACGATCCATCGATTCAACTCAAGGCTGAGATTAATCAGGAGTCAATTAATTTTTTAGACACAACAGTATTTAAAGGACCAGATTTTGAAAATACACACCAACTGGAGTTTAAAGTCAGTTTCAAAAGTACAGATACACATGCTTTATTACACAAAAATAGTTTTCATCCAAAACATACCTTTCGGGGTCTCGTTAAATCGCAAATCCTTAGATTTAAACGGATTTGTTCACAGGAAAAACATTTTAAGGAAGCAACCAACATTCTTTTTGAGGCTCTACGTAAAAGAGGATATTCGAGATCCTTTTTACGGACAAGTTTGAAACAGTTTCTCGTGCGCAGAGAGAAAGATCAGAGAGGATTAATTCCACTCATTACTACGTACAGTTCAACAGGCAAAAATCTGAACAACAGGTGGAAAAACAATTTTCAAAATATTATCCAAAAAATCAATATGTTTCCAAATTCTAGGGTAATTTCAGCGTACAGAAGGAATAAAAATTTGAGAGATATTTTAGTTAAAGCCAAATTACCATCTTTAACAACAGAAAAGCCGCAAAGGTTAAACGAGCAATTTTCCCGTTTAAAATTTATTAAAAACAATAAGGACAAAACAATTTTACAGATTCCACAGGGCTTTAGCCCAAGATCTAAAAATTGCATTTATGTAATGTACTGTAGTCAATGTAAACTAAAATATGTTGGAGAAACCAAAAATACTTTGTCTACGCGCATGACGCAACATAGATACAACATAAAGAACAAGAAGGAACAAGATACACCGGTGGTGAAACACTTTTTATTACATGGATGGAATTCGGTGAGGATAGCTGGTTTGGAGAGAAATATTCTTTGGTCAGACTGGGAACGGAAGAGGGCAGAAAGGAGATGGATCTATTGGTTGGGGACTAGAGAACCATTTGGTCTAAATAAAAAATCGAACTAACCAACTAGCCCTGGCCCCAACCCTAACCCTAACCCTAACCCTAGCCCTAACCCTAACCCTAGCTCTGGCCCTAACCCTAACCCTAGCCCTAACCCTAACCCTAACCCTAGTCCTGGCCCTAACCCTAACCCTAACCCTAACCCTAGCCCTAACCCTAACCCTAACCCTAACCCTAGCCCTAACCCTAACCCTAACCCTAACCCTAGCCCTAACCCTAACCCTAACCCTAGCCCTAACCCTAACCCTAGGACAGTTAAAAATTAAATATATTAATTTTAAATAAATAACACATAAATAAATAAATACATTTTAATAAATACAGGGGATATAGATCATTATTATATAGTAAAGGGTTAAAAGTAATTCATAGTTAAGGGCTTAAAATTTAGAATTTAAAAGGGCACATGATAATAAAATAACAAAATTCATTGTATTTACTCGCCAGAGACTATAAAAGGGAGAAGTGGGTTGGGCTTAATCATTTCCATTTTGAAGCTTGAGGAGAGAACATCATTCACTCTTACCAGCCAGCATCCTTTGTTTTCTTTATTCAGGGACAGTTTTTTTCTTTTCTTTGTTTGTTGTGTGCCAAGAGACCTGAGGAAGACCCACAGGGGGTCGAAACGTTGTCGTGGGCACACAAATTTGATTGTAAATAGTTTATTTGGAAGAAAAAAAGTTAAAAAACAACAAAAAAAATCTAAAAAACTTTATAAAAACCTTAAAAACATTTAAAAATATTTAAAAACAAAATTAAAAAACAGTTTATTTTTACTTTTTATTAAAACAATCAGCATTTTATTTCAGAAAGTTTAAATTTAAAGCTAAGTTTCCTTTGTTTTTTCAGATAAGTTTTCTTTTATAGGAAAAAATCAGTCTTTTCTTTCTTTAAAACAAAACAATATATATTTATTTAAATAAATAAAAACACTTTCATAGCCACTCTAACATGAGTGGCTACAATACAGACTGGACGGAGGTCAGATACGGCCGGAGGGCCCGACGTTTCCGCCAGCAATCCTGGGACCGTAGGGACGGGTACGGATGGGGGAAGGCCCGTGCATTCCCCGCTCCTTATGGGAGACGGGATAGAGTCCCCTCACCTTACCAGCCAGTGCCTCCTCCAAGACCGGCACGTTTCTATGGTCCCCAATCAAAAACCTATGCATCTGTGGTGGGCCGCCAATTCAATCGGAGACCGGCCCCACGATTTTATAAAAATCCACCGGTTCAGCAGCATTCGGACAATATTAGGAGACAGCCAGCTGACCCGCAGTTCGGGCGGCTGGTCAGGACTATGCATAGTCTTATAAAGATAGTGCACCATTACCAAAATGTTGCTCCAAAAGCCGGGAAGGGAGAACCCAAAATCATCTCCCGGATGGTTGAAGTGCTAGCCACTATGATCAAGCCCGCAGTTCCCACCCAGCGAACTATGGAGTTCATTAAGGGGAATGCAGAGAACTGGGGCTACAACACAGTGACCATTCTGATGGATCACTATAAGGACGGTTTGGATGTGGTCTTGGGGGAACTTGAGGGAATCTTGATTCCACGGTGGAAGGATGCCTTTGAAGTGGCAGTACGTTGGGCAAAACGAAACCTGCCCCGGATCACAGCAGATGTCATAGATCACGCAGAGGCCCTTATCACAGAGAGAGCTGAGGCCCTTTTGACAGAGAGAACAGAGGTTAGAGAGGAAGCACCCCAACCTACTGTTCAAAAGAACATTACGTTGCAGTCATTCAGGGGAACTAAAGATAAAAGTCACGGGCTAAACATCCAACCACCGGCCAAACAATCAGTGGCCACGATGACCGAACAGGTCCAACAGACAGACTCTGAATGGGCAAGTTCGCCCAAAGAACAGAGACAGGCCTACAGAGGGAGAAAAGGGGTGGTGTTGCCTGAGGACGAAGTTTTTGTAGAGGAGGTTGAGGAGGTTGAAGAACAGCCTAGAGTCATACATGACCAGATTTTGACAAACTCACAGTTAGCCACATTGTTTGATGAGCTAGATGCAGAAGAGGAACGGGAGAGGTTGGAGGCAAGAGCAGCTAGGGAACCCCTAAAGATTCAGAGCAACAAACCTCTACCCCAAACCAAACAGAGGTTCAGGTTCAGGTTTTGAGAGACGCATTTCCTGAGCCAGATGAGGTTGAGGCTTTGGGATCGGAAGATCCAGGTCCAGAGGTGGACGATGGGGAGGTCTTTCAAGACTCATCGGACAGATTTTTGGGTCCAGAACCAGAGCGTTTTAAGGTGAACTGTCACAGTAATACCCAAAAAAAACTAACTGAATGGGATTTGGTCGTGGAGAAAAAGTATCTGATCATTGGGGACTCTAACTTGGAAAGCATACCACCTTATTTTAACAAAAATCTGCAGATTGACAGTTTTCCAGACGGCCATTTTCGCCATGCACAGGTCCTTATGGACAAAAGAGCACCTCAACAAGATGATGTGGTGGTTGAAAAAGTAGTTCTGTCATTTGGAATCAATGGTAGACAAAACAAAAGTGATACAACAGTTAACAGTGTGCAAGGAGCTATCCGATCTACCAAGAGGAGGTTTCCTTATGCACAAGTGTGGGTCCCTTTGATCAACTTTTCATCAGCCCTCCCCAATGATGAAAAGGAAAACTTACAGAGTCTTAATGCCCATATTAAAAAGAATATGGGTTTTATTCCCCCGTTGCCAGAAGAAAAGTTTGTAACAACGGTGGATGATGTTCATTGGACATCAGAGACTGGGGCAGCCATGTTTGACCACTGGACGGCCTTTTTAAACTTAAGCGCCCCTTAAGTCTAGAAGAAGAGGGGGTCATAGGACATCGATCCTTTTCAGGACAGAATGTTATTGTTTTAGCAAAAAATTTTAGTCTTTCTAGACCCCAACATGACCTGTTGAGTAAGGGATTAACATTTATACCAACATTAAACATAGGCAGGGAACAAAAGGAGCAGCTACAGATGGATATGCAAACTTACCATCGTAAAATCAAATTGACAGCATTCTTTCAAAATTCAAAGACAAAACAGATTAAACCCTTTATGGGGACCTCAAAATGGTCTCCTCCATTAGAATCGTTACCCCTTGAGATTAAAAATTTAATTTATGAAGATTCAGACACACTTAAAAAGCACAAACAAGTCAAAGAGAAATGCAATTTATTTCCACAAGAAATCGAAGCATTAAGGGAATTAAAAAATACAAAACATATAGTGATTAAGCCGGCTGATAAGGGGACAGCCATTGTCATTTTGGACAGGGAACAATATATTCTGGAAGTCGAGAGACAATTAAATGACGCCAATTACTATAAAAAATTAGAGAAACCCATCTTTTGGGACACGATCCCTGTAGTTGATAAAATTTTAAATTCATTAAAAGACAAAAAATTCATAAATAAGAAACAATACAATTATCTAAAAGGGGATTCAGAACCCAGGGAAAGAAGATTTTATATCCTCCCGAAAATTCACAAAGAACCTGAAAAGTGGACGATTCCCTTTGAGTTACCTCCCGGAAGGCCAATAGTCTCGGATTGTGGGAGTGACACATATCATACAGCAGAGTATTTGGATTACTATTTGAATCCACTCTCTATAAAACATCCTGCTTATGTTAAAGATACTTACCATTTCATGGAAATAGTCAGGAGTTTGAGGATCCCTTCCAATTCTTATTTGTTTTCTTTGGATGTAAATAGTTTGTACACTAACATTGATATTGAGGCTGGTTTAAGGTCCATAAAAAATGCTTTTGCTCAATATCCTGATACCAAAAGACCAGACAAAGAATTGTTACAACTTTTGGAAATTAATTTAACCAGAAACGATTTTATGTTCAATGGACAATTTTATTTGCAGATTAAGGGAACTGCCATGGGGAAAAGATTCGCCCCAGCATATGCCAACATTTTTATGGCTCAGTGGGAAAAGGAAGTGTTGAGCAAATGTGAGAAAAAACCGACACATTATCTGAGATATCTGGACGATATATGGGGAATTTGGGAGGGATCGGAGAGGGAATTTGAAGGATTTTTAGACATTTTGAATTCCCACGATCCATCGATTCAACTCAAGGCTGAGATTAATCAGGAGTCAATTAATTTTTTAGACACAACAGTATTTAAAGGACCAGATTTTGAAAATACACACCAACTGGAGTTTAAAGTCAGTTTCAAAAGTACAGATACACATGCTTTATTACACAAAAATAGTTTTCATCCAAAACATACCTTTCGGGGTCTCGTTAAATCGCAAATCCTTAGATTTAAACGGATTTGTTCACAGGAAAAACATTTTAAGGAAGCAACCAACATTCTTTTTGAGGCTCTACGTAAAAGAGGATATTCGAGATCCTTTTTTCGGACAAGTTTGAAACAGTTTCTCGTGCGCAGAGAGAAAGATCAGAGAGGATTAATTCCACTCATTACTACGTACAGTTCAACAGGCAAAAATCTGAACAACAGGTGGAAAAACAATTTTCAAAATATTATCCAAAAAATCAATATGTTTCCAAATTCTAGGGTAATTTCAGCGTACAGAAGGAATAAAAATTTGAGAGATATTTTAGTTAAAGCCAAATTACCATCTTTAACAACAGAAAAGCCGCAAAGGTTAAACGAGCAATTTTCCCGTTTAAAATTTATTAAAAACAATAAGGACAAAACAATTTTACAGATTCCACAGGGCTTTAGCCCAAGATCTAAAAATTGCATTTATGTAATGTACTGTAGTCAATGTAAACTAAAATATGTTGGAGAAACCAAAAATACTTTGTCTACGCGCATGACGCAACATAGATACAACATAAAGAACAAGAAGGAACAAGATACACCGGTGGTGAAACACTTTTTATTACATGGATGGAATTCGGTGAGGATAGCTGGTTTGGAGAGAAATATTCTTTGGTCAGACTGGGAACGGAAGAGGGCAGAAAGGAGATGGATCTATTGGTTGGGGACTAGAGAACCATTTGGTCTAAATAAAAAATCGAACTAACCAACTAGCCCTGGCCCCAACCCTAACCCTAACCCTAACCCTAGCCCTAACCCTAACCCTAGCTCTGGCCCTAACCCTAACCCTAGCCCTAACCCTAACCCTAACCCTAGTCCTGGCCCTAACCCTAACCCTAACCCTAACCCTAGCCCTAACCCTAACCCTAACCCTAACCCTAGCCCTAACCCTAACCCTAACCCTAACCCTAGCCCTAACCCTAACCCTAACCCTAGCCCTAACCCTAACCCTAGGACAGTTAAAAATTAAATATATTAATTTTAAATAAATAACACATAAATAAATAAATACATTTTAATAAATACAGGGGATATAGATCATTATTATATAGTAAAGGGTTAAAAGTAATTCATAGTTAAGGGCTTAAAATTTAGAATTTAAAAGGGCACATGATAATAAAATAACAAAATTCATTGTATTTACTCGCCAGAGACTATAAAAGGGAGAAGTGGGTTGGGCTTAATCATTTCCATTTTGAAGCTTGAGGAGAGAACATCATTCACTCTTACCAGCCAGCATCCTTTGTTTTCTTTATTCAGGGACAGTTTTTTTCTTTTCTTTGTTTGTTGTGTGCCAAGAGACCTGAGGAAGACCCACAGGGGGTCGAAACGTTGTCGTGGGCACACAAATTTGATTGTAAATAGTTTATTTGGAAGAAAAAAAAGTTAAAAAACAACAAAAAAATCTAAAAAACTTTATAAAAACCTTAAAAACATTTAAAAATATTTAAAAACAAAATTAAAAAACAGTTTATTTTTACTTTTTATTAAAACAATCAGCATTTTATTTCAGAAAGTTTAAATTTAAAGCTAAGTTTCCTTTGTTTTTTCAGATAAGTTTTCTTTTATAGGAAAAAATCAGTCTTTTCTTTCTTTAAAACAAAACAATATATATTTATTTAAATAAATAAAAACACTTTCATAGCCACTCTAACATGAGTGGCTACAATACAGACTGGACGGAGGTCAGATACGGCCGGAGGGCCCGACGTTTCCGCCAGCAATCCTGGGACCGTAGGGACGGGTACGGATGGGGGAAGGCCCGTGCATTCCCCGCTCCTTATGGGAGACGGGATAGAGTCCCCTCACCTTACCAGCCAGTGCCTCCTCCAAGACCGGCACGTTTCTATGGTCCCCAATCAAAAACCTATGCATCTGTGGTGGGCCGCCAATTCAATCGGAGACCGGCCCCACGATTTTATAAAAATCCACCGGTTCAGCAGCATTCGGACAATATTAGGAGACAGCCAGCTGACCCGCAGTTCGGGCGGCTGGTCAGGACTATGCATAGTCTTATAAAGATAGTGCACCATTACCAAAATGTTGCTCCAAAAGCCGGGAAGGGAGAACCCAAAATCATCTCCCGGATGGTTGAAGTGCTAGCCACTATGATCAAGCCCGCAGTTCCCACCCAGCGAACTATGGAGTTCATTAAGGGGAATGCAGAGAACTGGGGCTACAACACAGTGACCATTCTGATGGATCACTATAAGGACGGTTTGGATGTGGTCTTGGGGGAACTTGAGGGAATCTTGATTCCACGGTGGAAGGATGCCTTTGAAGTGGCAGTACGTTGGGCAAAACGAAACCTGCCCCGGATCACAGCAGATGTCATAGATCACGCAGAGGCCCTTATCACAGAGAGAGCTGAGGCCCTTTTGACAGAGAGAACAGAGGTTAGAGAGGAAGCACCCCAACCTACTGTTCAAAAGAACATTACGTTGCAGTCATTCAGGGGAACTAAAGATAAAAGTCACGGGCTAAACATCCAACCACCGGCCAAACAATCAGTGGCCACGATGACCGAACAGGTCCAACAGACAGACTCTGAATGGGCAAGTTCGCCCAAAGAACAGAGACAGGCCTACAGAGGGAGAAAAGGGGTGGTGTTGCCTGAGGACGAAGTTTTTGTAGAGGAGGTTGAGGAGGTTGAAGAACAGCCTAGAGTCATACATGACCAGATTTTGACAAACTCACAGTTAGCCACATTGTTTGATGAGCTAGATGCAGAAGAGGAACGGGAGAGGTTGGAGGCAAGAGCAGCTAGGGAACCCCTAAAGATTCAGAGCAACAAACCTCTACCCCAAACCAAACAGAGGTTCAGGTTCAGGTTTTGAGAGACGCATTTCCTGAGCCAGATGAGGTTGAGGCTTTGGGATCGGAAGATCCAGGTCCAGAGGTGGACGATGGGGAGGTCTTTCAAGACTCATCGGACAGATTTTTGGGTCCAGAACCAGAGCGTTTTAAGGTGAACTGTCACAGTAATACCCAAAAAAAACTAACTGAATGGGATTTGGTCGTGGAGAAAAAGTATCTGATCATTGGGGACTCTAACTTGGAAAGCATACCACCTTATTTTAACAAAAATCTGCAGATTGACAGTTTTCCAGACGGCCATTTTCGCCATGCACAGGTCCTTATGGACAAAAGAGCACCTCAACAAGATGATGTGGTGGTTGAAAAAGTAGTTCTGTCATTTGGAATCAATGGTAGACAAAACAAAAGTGATACAACAGTTAAAAGTGTGCAAGGAGCTATCCGATCTACCAAGAGGAGGTTTCCTTATGCACAAGTGTGGGTCCTTTGATCAACTTTTCATCAGCCCTCCCCAATGATGAAAAGGAAAACTTACAGAGTCTTAATGCCCATATTAAAAAGAATATGGGTTTTATTCCCCCGTTGCCAGAAGAAAAGTTTGTAACAACGGTGGACGATGTTCATTGGACATCAGAGACTGGGGCAGCCATGTTTGACCACTGGACGGCCTTTTTAAACTTAAGCGCCCCTTAAGTCTAGAAGAAGAGGGGGTCATAGGACATCGATCCTTTTCAGGACAGAATGTTATTGTTTTAGCAAAAAATTTTAGTCTTTCTAGACCCCAACATGACCTGTTGAGTAAGGGATTAACATTTATACCAACATTAAACATAGGCAGGGAACAAAAGGAGCAGCTACAGATGGATATGCAAACTTACCATCGTAAAATCAAATTGACAGCATTCTTTCAAAATTCAAAGACAAAACAGATTAAACCCTTTATGGGGACCTCAAAATGGTCTCCTCCATTAGAATCGTTACCCCTTGAGATTAAAAATTTAATTTATGAAGATTCAGACACACTTAAAAAGCACAAACAAGTCAAAGAGAAATGCAATTTATTTCCACAAGAAATCGAAGCATTAAGGGAATTAAAAAATACAAAACATATAGTGATTAAGCCGGCTGATAAGGGGACAGCCATTGTCATTTTGGACAGGGAACAATATATTCTGGAAGTCGAGAGACAATTAAATGACGCCAATTACTATAAAAAATTAGAGAAACCCATCTTTTGGGACACGATCCCTGTAGTTGATAAAATTTTAAATTCATTAAAAGACAAAAAATTCATAAATAAGAAACAATACAATTATCTAAAAGGGGATTCAGAACCCAGGGAAAGAAGATTTTATATCCTCCCGAAAATTCACAAAGAACCTGAAAAGTGGACGATTCCCTTTGAGTTACCTGCCGGAAGGCCAATAGTCTCGGATTGTGGGAGTGACACATATCATACAGCAGAGTATTTGGATTACTATTTGAATCCACTCTCTATAAAACATCCTGCTTATGTTAAAGATACTTACCATTTCATGGAAATAGTCAGGAGTTTGAGGATCCCTTCCAATTCTTATTTGTTTTCTTTGGATGTAAATAGTTTGTACACTAACATTGATATTGAGGCTGGTTTAAGGTCCATAAAAAATGCTTTTGCTCAATATCCTGATACCAAAAGACCAGACAAAGAATTGTTACAACTTTTGGAAATTAATTTAACCAGAAACGATTTTATGTTCAATGGACAATTTTATTTGCAGATTAAGGGAACTGCCATGGGGAAAAGATTCGCCCCAGCATATGCCAACATTTTTATGGCTCAGTGGGAAAAGGAAGTGTTGAGCAAATGTGAGAAAAAACCGACACATTATCTGAGATATCTGGACGATATATGGGGAATTTGGGAGGGATCGGAGAGGGAATTTGAAGGATTTTTAGACATTTTGAATTCCCACGATCCATCGATTCAACTCAAGGCTGAGATTAATCAGGAGTCAATTAATTTTTTAGACACAACAGTATTTAAAGGACCAGATTTTGAAAATACACACCAACTGGAGTTTAAAGTCAGTTTCAAAAGTACAGATACACATGCTTTATTACACAAAAATAGTTTTCATCCAAAACATACCTTTCGGGGTCTCGTTAAATCGCAAATCCTTAGATTTAAACGGATTTGTTCACAGGAAAAACATTTTAAGGAAGCAACCAACATTCTTTTTGAGGCTCTACGTAAAAGAGGATATTCGAGATCCTTTTTCGGACAAGTTTGAAACAGTTTCTCGTGCGCAGAGAGAAAGATCAGAGAGGATTAATTCCACTCATTACTACGTACAGTTCAACAGGCAAAAATCTGAACAACAGGTGGAAAAACAATTTTCAAAATATTATCCAAAAAATCAATATGTTTCCAAATTCTAGGGTAATTTCAGCGTACAGAAGGAATAAAAATTTGAGAGATATTTTAGTTAAAGCCAAATTACCATCTTTAACAACAGAAAAGCCGCAAAGGTTAAACGAGCAATTTTCCCGTTTAAAATTTATTAAAAACAATAAGGACAAAACAATTTTACAGATTCCACAGGGCTTTAGCCCAAGATCTAAAAATTGCATTTATGTAATGTACTGTAGTCAATGTAAACTAAAATATGTTGGAGAAACCAAAAATACTTTGTCTACGCGCATGACGCAACATAGATACAACATAAAGAACAAGAAGGAACAAGATACACCGGTGGTGAAACACTTTTTATTACATGGATGGAATTCGGTGAGGATAGCTGGTTTGGAGAGAAATATTCTTTGGTCAGACTGGGAACGGAAGAGGGCAGAAAGGAGATGGATCTATTGGTTGGGGACTAGAGAACCATTTGGTCTAAATAAAAAATCGAACTAACCAACTAGCCCTGGCCCCAACCCTAACCCTAACCCTAACCCTAGCCCTAACCCTAACCCTAGCTCTGGCCCTAACCCTAACCCTAGCCCTAACCCTAACCCTAACCCTAGTCCTGGCCCTAACCCTAACCCTAACCCTAACCCTAGCCCTAACCCTAACCCTAACCCTAACCCTAGCCCTAACCCTAACCCTAACCCTAACCCTAGCCCTAACCCTAACCCTAACCCTAGCCCTAACCCTAACCCTAGGACAGTTAAAAATTAAATATATTAATTTTAAATAAATAACACATAAATAAATAAATACATTTTAATAAATACAGGGGATATAGATCATTATTATATAGTAAAGGGTTAAAAGTAATTCATAGTTAAGGGCTTAAAATTTAGAATTTAAAAGGGCACATGATAATAAAATAACAAAATTCATTGTATTTACTCGCCAGAGACTATAAAAGGGAGAAGTGGGTTGGGCTTAATCATTTCCATTTTGAAGCTTGAGGAGAGAACATCATTCACTCTTACCAGCCAGCATCCTTTGTTTTCTTTATTCAGGGACAGTTTTTTTCTTTTCTTTGTTTGTTGTGTGCCAAGAGACCTGAGGAAGACCCACAGGGGGTCGAAACGTTGTCGTGGGCACACAAATTTGATTGTAAATAGTTTATTTGGAAGAAAAAAAAGTTAAAAAACAACAAAAAAATCTAAAAAACTTTATAAAAACCTTAAAAACATTTAAAAATATTTAAAAACAAAATTAAAAAACAGTTTATTTTTACTTTTTATTAAAACAATCAGCATTTTATTTCAGAAAGTTTAAATTTAAAGCTAAGTTTCCTTTGTTTTTTCAGATAAGTTTTCTTTTATAGGAAAAAATCAGTCTTTTCTTTCTTTAAAACAAAACAATATATATTTATTTAAATAAATAAAAACACTTTCATAGCCACTCTAACATGAGTGGCTACAATACAGACTGGACGGAGGTCAGATACGGCCGGAGGGCCCGACGTTTCCGCCAGCAATCCTGGGACCGTAGGGACGGGTACGGATGGGGGAAGGCCCGTGCATTCCCCGCTCCTTATGGGAGACGGGATAGAGTCCCCTCACCTTACCAGCCAGTGCCTCCTCCAAGACCGGCACGTTTCTATGGTCCCCAATCAAAAACCTATGCATCTGTGGTGGGCCGCCAATTCAATCGGAGACCGGCCCCACGATTTTATAAAAATCCACCGGTTCAGCAGCATTCGGACAATATTAGGAGACAGCCAGCTGACCCGCAGTTCGGGCGGCTGGTCAGGACTATGCATAGTCTTATAAAGATAGTGCACCATTACCAAAATGTTGCTCCAAAAGCCGGGAAGGGAGAACCCAAAATCATCTCCCGGATGGTTGAAGTGCTAGCCACTATGATCAAGCCCGCAGTTCCCACCCAGCGAACTATGGAGTTCATTAAGGGGAATGCAGAGAACTGGGGCTACAACACAGTGACCATTCTGATGGATCACTATAAGGACGGTTTGGATGTGGTCTTGGGGGAACTTGAGGGAATCTTGATTCCACGGTGGAAGGATGCCTTTGAAGTGGCAGTACGTTGGGCAAAACGAAACCTGCCCCGGATCACAGCAGATGTCATAGATCACGCAGAGGCCCTTATCACAGAGAGAGCTGAGGCCCTTTTGACAGAGAGAACAGAGGTTAGAGAGGAAGCACCCCAACCTACTGTTCAAAAGAACATTACGTTGCAGTCATTCAGGGGAACTAAAGATAAAAGTCACGGGCTAAACATCCAACCACCGGCCAAACAATCAGTGGCCACGATGACCGAACAGGTCCAACAGACAGACTCTGAATGGGCAAGTTCGCCCAAAGAACAGAGACAGGCCTACAGAGGGAGAAAAGGGGTGGTGTTGCCTGAGGACGAAGTTTTTGTAGAGGAGGTTGAGGAGGTTGAAGAACAGCCTAGAGTCATACATGACCAGATTTTGACAAACTCACAGTTAGCCACATTGTTTGATGAGCTAGATGCAGAAGAGGAACGGGAGAGGTTGGAGGCAAGAGCAGCTAGGGAACCCCTAAAGATTCAGAGCAACAAACCTCTACCCCAAACCAAACAGAGGTTCAGGTTCAGGTTTTGAGAGACGCATTTCCTGAGCCAGATGAGGTTGAGGCTTTGGGATCGGAAGATCCAGGTCCAGAGGTGGACGATGGGGAGGTCTTTCAAGACTCATCGGACAGATTTTTGGGTCCAGAACCAGAGCGTTTTAAGGTGAACTGTCACAGTAATACCCAAAAAAAACTAACTGAATGGGATTTGGTCGTGGAGAAAAAGTATCTGATCATTGGGGACTCTAACTTGGAAAGCATACCACCTTATTTTAACAAAAATCTGCAGATTGACAGTTTTCCAGACGGCCATTTTCGCCATGCACAGGTCCTTATGGACAAAAGAGCACCTCAACAAGATGATGTGGTGGTTGAAAAAGTAGTTCTGTCATTTGGAATCAATGGTAGACAAAACAAAAGTGATACAACAGTTAAAAGTGTGCAAGGAGCTATCCGATCTACCAAGAGGAGGTTTCCTTATGCACAAGTGTGGGTCCCTTTGATCAACTTTTCATCAGCCCTCCCCAATGATGAAAAGGAAAACTTACAGAGTCTTAATGCCCATATTAAAAAGAATATGGGTTTTATTCCCCCGTTGCCAGAAGAAAAGTTTGTAACAACGGTGGACGATGTTCATTGGACATCAGAGACTGGGGCAGCCATGTTTGACCACTGGACGGCCTTTTTAAACTTAAGCGCCCCTTAAGTCTAGAAGAAGAGGGGGTCATAGGACATCGATCCTTTTCAGGACAGAATGTTATTGTTTTAGCAAAAAATTTTAGTCTTTCTAGACCCCAACATGACCTGTTGAGTAAGGGATTAACATTTATACCAACATTAAACATAGGCAGGGAACAAAAGGAGCAGCTACAGATGGATATGCAAACTTACCATCGTAAAATCAAATTGACAGCATTCTTTCAAAATTCAAAGACAAAACAGATTAAACCCTTTATGGGGACCTCAAAATGGTCTCCTCCATTAGAATCGTTACCCCTTGAGATTAAAAATTTAATTTATGAAGATTCAGACACACTTAAAAAGCACAAACAAGTCAAAGAGAAATGCAATTTATTTCCACAAGAAATCGAAGCATTAAGGGAATTAAAAAATACAAAACATATAGTGATTAAGCCGGCTGATAAGGGGACAGCCATTGTCATTTTGGACAGGGAACAATATATTCTGGAAGTCGAGAGACAATTAAATGACGCCAATTACTATAAAAAATTAGAGAAACCCATCTTTTGGGACACGATCCCTGTAGTTGATAAAATTTTAAATTCATTAAAAGACAAAAAATTCATAAATAAGAAACAATACAATTATCTAAAAGGGGATTCAGAACCCAGGGAAAGAAGATTTTATATCCTCCCGAAAATTCACAAAGAACCTGAAAAGTGGACGATTCCCTTTGAGTTACCTCCCGGAAGGCCAATAGTCTCGGATTGTGGGAGTGACACATATCATACAGCAGAGTATTTGGATTACTATTTGAATCCACTCTCTATAAAACATCCTGCTTATGTTAAAGATACTTACCATTTCATGGAAATAGTCAGGAGTTTGAGGATCCCTTCCAATTCTTATTTGTTTTCTTTGGATGTAAATAGTTTGTACACTAACATTGATATTGAGGCTGGTTTAAGGTCCATAAAAAATGCTTTTGCTCAATATCCTGATACCAAAAGACCAGACAAAGAATTGTTACAACTTTTGGAAATTAATTTAACCAGAAACGATTTTATGTTCAATGGACAATTTTATTTGCAGATTAAGGGAACTGCCATGGGGAAAAGATTCGCCCCAGCATATGCCAACATTTTTATGGCTCAGTGGGAAAAGGAAGTGTTGAGCAAATGTGAGAAAAAACCGACACATTATCTGAGATATCTGGACGATATATGGGGAATTTGGGAGGGATCGGAGAGGGAATTTGAAGGATTTTTAGACATTTTGAATTCCCACGATCCATCGATTCAACTCAAGGCTGAGATTAATCAGGAGTCAATTAATTTTTTAGACACAACAGTATTTAAAGGACCAGATTTTGAAAATACACACCAACTGGAGTTTAAAGTCAGTTTCAAAAGTACAGATACACATGCTTTATTACACAAAAATAGTTTTCATCCAAAACATACCTTTCGGGGTCTCGTTAAATCGCAAATCCTTAGATTTAAACGGATTTGTTCACAGGAAAAACATTTTAAGGAAGCAACCAACATTCTTTTTGAGGCTCTACGTAAAAGAGGATATTCGAGATCCTTTTTACGGACAAGTTTGAAACAGTTTCTCGTGCGCAGAGAGAAAGATCAGAGAGGATTAATTCCACTCATTACTACGTACAGTTCAACAGGCAAAAATCTGAACAACAGGTGGAAAAACAATTTTCAAAATATTATCCAAAAAATCAATATGTTTCCAAATTCTAGGGTAATTTCAGCGTACAGAAGGAATAAAAATTTGAGAGATATTTTAGTTAAAGCCAAATTACCATCTTTAACAACAGAAAAGCCGCAAAGGTTAAACGAGCAATTTTCCCGTTTAAAATTTATTAAAAACAATAAGGACAAAACAATTTTACAGATTCCACAGGGCTTTAGCCCAAGATCTAAAAATTGCATTTATGTAATGTACTGTAGTCAATGTAAACTAAAATATGTTGGAGAAACCAAAAATACTTTGTCTACGCGCATGACGCAACATAGATACAACATAAAGAACAAAGAGGAACAAGATACACCGGTGGTGAAACACTTTTTATTACATGGATGGAATTCGGTGAGGATAGCTGGTTTGGAGAGAAATATTCTTTGGTCAGACTGGGAACGGAAGAGGGCAGAAAGGAGATGGATCTATTGGTTGGGGACTAGAGAACCATTTGGTCTAAATAAAAAATCGAACTAACCAACTAGCCCTGGCCCCAACCCTAACCCTAACCCTAACCCTAGCCCTAACCCTAACCCTAGCTCTGGCCCTAACCCTAACCCTAGCCCTAACCCTAACCCTAACCCTAGTCCTGGCCCTAACCCTAACCCTAACCCTAACCCTAGCCCTAGCCCTAACCCTAACCCTAGCCCTAACCCTAACCCTAACCCTAGCCCTAACCCTAACCCTAGGACAGTTAAAAATTAAATATATTAATTTTAAATAAATAACACATAAATAAATAAATAACACATAAATAAATAAATACATTTTAATAAATACAGGGGATATAGATCATTATTATATAGTAAAGGGTTAAAAGTAATTCATAGTTAAGGGCTTAAAATTTAGAATTTAAAAGGGCACATGATAATAAAATAACAAAATTCATTGTATTTACTCGCCAGAGACTATAAAAGGGAGAAGTGGGTTGGGCTTAATCATTTCCATTTTGAAGCTTGAGGAGAGAACATCATTCACTCTTACCAGCCAGCATCCTTTGTTTTCTTTATTCAGAGACAGTTTTTTTCTTTTCTTTGTTTGTTGTGTGCCAAGAGACCTGAGGAAGACCCACAGGGGGTCGAAACGTTGTCGTGGGCACACAAATTTGATTGTAAATAGTTTATTTGGAAGAAAAAAAAGTTAAAAAACAACAAAAAAATCTAAAAAACTTTATAAAAACCTTAAAAACATTTAAAAATATTTAAAAACAAAATTAAAAAACAGTTTATTTTTACTTTTTATTAAAACAATCAGCATTTTATTTCAGAAAGTTTAAATTTAAAGCTAAGTTTCCTTTGTTTTTTCAGATAAGTTTTCTTTTATAGGAAAAATCAGTCTTTTCTTTCTTTAAAACAAAACAATATATATTTATTTAAATAAATAAAAACACTTTCATAGCCACTCTAACATGAGTGGCTACAATACAGACTGGACGGAGGTCAGATACGGCCGGAGGGCCCGACGTTTCCGCCAGCAATCCTGGGACCGTAGGGACGGGTACGGATGGGGGAAGGCCCGTGCATTCCCCGCTCCTTATGGGAGACGGGATAGAGTCCCCTCACCTAACCCCTAACCCTAACCCTAAACCCTAACCCTAACCCTAACCCTAACCCCTAACCCTAACCCTAACCATTATGAGGGCCCTAACCCTAACCCTAGCGCCATCCCGCTCCCCGCAGACCCAAGTAGGGTCACTATAGGAGAGACGGGATTCATTTCTAGCCCCAACCGTGGACCTGGCCCTAACCCTAACCATTATGAGGGCCCTAACCCTAACCCTAGCCCTGGCCTCGGATTCTAACCCTAACCCTAACCCTAACCCTAACCCTAACCCTAGGGGTCACTTTAAGCCTAACTACAGGAGAAATATAAATATATTATTCAGATTAAAAAACAAACAGCATTTAAAGGGTTAACATCTACAAACTAAATAAAGTTGAATTTAAATTAAATATCCGAGAGAAAATCAGTTATTTTCTTCAGCAAAGGGTATAAAAGGGAAAACAGGACAGGGAATTTTCATTTTCATTCAGATGCTGCCTGGGTGAACCCCTATGAATTGGGGCCCAGCAGCTATGAAAGCTGTGTGTGCATAGACCTGAAGAAGACCAAACTAGGTCGAAACGTCGTCGCGGTGCACACATCATATACATAGTTCAAGTAGTGTTCATGTATGTTTGTTTGTTTGTGTGTTTGTGTGTAAACAACAGTTAAAAACCTAAAAAAATGGATTAATTTAACAAATATGAATTACACAACACACTAAAACTAATTTATTAAAAACAATTTAATTCATAACACAAATAAGTGTCTTTCTGGGACCGGGGGAGCGTGTCCAGTGGGCGAAGGCCCGTGCATTCCCCGCTCCCCGCCGACCCAAGTAGGGCAATTTAGGGGAGACGGGATTCTTTCCCAAAACCTAACCCCTAACCCTAACCCTAACCCCCTAACCCTAACCCCTAACCCTAACCCTAACCCCTAACCCTAACCCTAACCCCTAACCCTAACCCTAACCCTAACCCAACCCTAACCCCCCTAACCCCTAACCCTAACACTCGGGGATCAAATCTAACCCTGGCCCTATCCCTAACCCTAACCCTAACCCTCGGGGATCAAATCTAACCCTAACCCTGGCCCTGACCCTAACCCTAACCCTCGGGGATCAAATCTAACCCTGGCCCTATCCCTAACCCTAACCCTAACCCTCGGGGATCAAATCTAACCCTGGCCCTATCCCTAACCCTAACCCTAACCCTCGGGGATCAAATCTAACCCTAACCCTGGCCCTGACCCTAACCTCTCTAGCCCTAGCCCTGACCCCTAACCCTAACCTTTAAAAACTAATAATTTATTTTAATTAATTCTTTTTAATCCATTATTGATTATTACACATTAAAACCATAAATATTACAAATATATATCTCATCTAAAATTTAAAAAGGGAATTAGGGGCTAACATAATTACATCTGTCTTTAAAAAATCAATTTCATTACAATTCTAATGGGCAAACGTTAAAATTGGGCATTACAATTACAATTCATTAAATTAAATAAGTTAAAAAGATTATAAAAAATTCTAATTGGGCATTACAATTATGATTCATTAAAAATTAATCTGTTAAAAGAGGGTAAAAAAATCCAATTGGCCATTAACATTCATGTCATCTAATTTCAGTTGGAATTTATGGGGTTAACTGCACCCAGACGGCCGGGGGCCCCGTCTGGCTCTGCTCTCTCCCACGCCCCTATAAATAACACACGCACACACAGCCC